TCTCACAGTGTGTTAATAGTTGCTGACATGGCAAATTACTCCTGACTAGAAAGGATGCATTAAATTCACACCTGCAGCATATTACAAAAGAAGGTTTCCATGTAAATATATCCTGAAGTTATGAGGAATCTAACTGTAGGCTGTACACATGGAGGGAACTACCTCCCAGGAAATATCTCCTATCACAAGCAAAAGGATTCCACTGAGGAAATTGTGCTGGCATACCCGACATGTTAAGATCTTACATGATAAACTTTGCCTTTCCTTTAAAGATAAGTCTTAGGTATGAAAGTTCAGTCCTACTGTTCAACAAGTAAAGCTTAAAAATTTATAGCCTGGTTCACTTTCCTATCAGAGCAGTATGAAAGAGGGGTCACAATATGGTATAGCTCTTTTAATTCAATCTGTAGATATGGTATGCAGCTAATGAACTTTCAGAAGAATTGGATAAAAACTTAATAAAAACACTGAATCTTGAAACTATTAAGATGATCCATAGAAGTTGGTCAAAACCTTTTACATTGTTCCACTGTAAAAGTAAAAGGCTCATTCTACAAAGTTAGTGGTTGACAGATGTAAAATGAATGAAAAATTGAATTTAGCACAGCTCTTAGCAATTTCAGAAGCCTTATTTCGAATGATACTTCTGAGGTGTAATAATAACACAAGGAAAAACTTTCTTCCCTATCTGCCACGCTTAGCCCAGCAGGGTGGAGCATGCAGGTGGGAAAGAAATTCTTCAAAGGAAATATTGGCTCTCAGGAGGTGTATATGTTAGCTGAGTTCATGTACAAAATCTGAACTCTACCTGCCTATAAAGTAAACAAAAACATGTTAATTTTAAACAAAACTACATTTATCCATATCCCCCCAAGTGTAAATATGTGTTAAAACATCTCTAAAAATAGAGTTCAAAGACAAATGCCTTTCCTATGGGGATCAATGAGAGAGAATTTCTTTTCATCTCAGTAAAACCTCAATTCAAAAGGAAGGCTGCAGCCTTTGGGGAAATACCTAAAAACAATGTTAAGATGTTTCAAAAACTGTTTTCCACAGTTTTGAAACAAGCTCACCTGAGTTTAAATTTCTGAGGTATGACAGACCTTGTTAAGTAATTTAAAAAACAAAAGCCAAACTAGAAATACAAACCCAGTAAAACTCTCAGATGTCTGTTTCCTTTCTATGCCTAAAAAATTCTAATAGGGACTAAACCCCACTGTTCTAGGTTCTGCCTGAAGCTGCTATGAAAACCTTTTCTGTAACTTCTGCACTCCTGGAAAAGTACCTCCATGAAGTTAAATTCCTCCTCTGCCTCTAGACAAAGAACTACAAATAATGAAATGAACACAGTCTTTGTACCCTGAAATCACAGACATCCTCACTGCTGGGAGCACTTTAAATCACATGCTTCACTGGTACTAGACCTAAACTTTTATGAGCCAGACCCACACTCAGTCTAGAGTAACAGGCATGTGTCCGGTGTACAGACCATTTATTCAATAATCTAGGAAGCCCTTACATTAATTGAGGCAGACTAGTCATTGTCAAATATGAGCTATGCCAAATGTTGCCTATAGACTCACTCTTCATCAGCTCCCAAAAACACAATTTCGTGAGAGAAATGAGTTCCCTTTCATGTATGTATACTTTCTAGATAGTCCCAAATGATTTTGCCTTGTGCCTATAGGTCACCATTACAAGGTCCTTAGCATTTTGCTGAAACCAAAGATCAGTTTCATTAAGCCATTATATCACTCGTTTGTAATGCAAATTGGATGTTTCATATTTCTACAGTATTTTGTTTTACATATTTCTACTGGTCATTTTGTGGCCTGTCATTGCTGTCTGGCTTTCTGTTATACCAGGCACTGAGTAAACATGGAAAAATGTGTGATCCCTCTTTCAAAGTGCTTCCAAGCTTGGTAACTCTAAGAACCAATGAGTTTTTTTGGACTTGGGCAAGATCTGTCTCATTATTTTCCAGCTCATTTCTATTTATTTGTTTACCTCTAACAATATCTTTATTATAAATTTTTTATCATCCTTTCTTACATACCAGTTTTCTGACAAACAGATTAATAAATACTTAGGTTAATATGCCAGAAGAGTTTTCAATGTGTAGCACTGGGCTTCATGTGAGATATATCAGACTGTAATTGCAATTAAGACCAAAAACCCTCTGGCTTGATATTCTCCAGAAGAAGGAGATGAAAGGCTTGTCTGTATGCATGTGGGTTTGTGGAAGAAAGTCGGGTTTCGAGGTACCTACTTCTTTTCCAAAGTAAATGTAATCCATACAGAAAAGCCTGAATGCCTTTTTCTCCTACACAAATTTAATATTTTCAGCTCTTGCTGATTAGATGGTGCACTTGCTCATATTCTCTCTTCTAAAATCCATGAGTGAATGTCATAAAATTCATATAAGCTTTTACTAAATTACTTTATAAAGTGAAATGTATGGGGGTAAAAAGCAAGATTTCACACTAAAATTATTGAAGGTGTAAAAGAAGGAAATCTTTATTCTCGTAAAATGTGTTTGATTAAAATGTAACTTACTTTCTTTTGAAGAAAAGAGGAATTTGATTTTGATTTTAAGCCTCCTGAAGTGTCCATGTGTGCATCTCAACTATAAGATATGAAAATGAAATGCAGGACAGAAGATCTAAAACAGAAAAGAATTTTAGAGAAGATGATAATATTTCAAGAAGATATATATACCAGCAATTTTAAAGCAAATACTTAATTTTCTATAAAACTAATTCATTGAACTTTTGAAAAACCTCAACCTGTAAAATGGCTGAAGTTTATATAATGATTTAAACTATTCAGTGCTTGATATAAGCACAGACAGATATTATGCTGGAAGTGTAAAGGAGAAAATTGCCAGGACCTATAAAGCGCACGGTTGATTTTAAGTATATCGAAGGAATTAAATATATGTGTATATGGAAAGGAAGTGAAAAAGAAAATAAATGGTCCTGTAAAGAGGATAACAGATGGTTCCATTTGATCAGAAAGAAGGCTAGGATTTCCTTGCCTTCGCTTTTTGATAATTTCTAAGAATTATTTTCTTAGTTCATTTAGCTTGTGGATGTTAATTGTCTGATTTATACATCACTTACTGAAGGGTTGACTTAAATAAAAGGTAAGACAAGACATCTGCTCACTCTCTTTGATATTTATAAATAACTAGACACAATATAGAATGAAGTTACTAAATTAGAAGAAAAGAAAATATGTGATAAGAAGGCAATGCCACTTGTTAAATTTACTCTTTACTGCTTTCCTGGGTGATATATCACAGAAAGGTTGTCTGAGCTGTCATTGTGGCATCACTAAGAGGATGTACACAACATCTTCCATTCAAATTACCTTTCAAATCAATCACCCTCATCAGGCTGCTATCTTCATCTGATGGCTGTAGGACAAATGTTTTGGCTTATGGGTAGGAAGTGTTAGCATTTGAAAAAGCTCTGAGAAAGAAGGTTCCATGTTTAACTTTGATAAATTGTGTTAGGAAAGGGCAGCTAATAATACAATTGGTGAAATCCTTCATCCAACTGTCTTGCAATTTTTTAAATTAAAAGGCTGTTCTATACTTTTTTTTTTTTTCCTATGCAAAAAATGTGTCCCTAAAAAACCTAGAACAAATACTTACTGTGTTTTTACAGGGATGAATTATTCAAAAATGCACTAATGTGGCACACCCTTGTACTGCTTGTAGAACTGTCTTCTGAGTCCTAAATTACTTGGTTTATATGTAAGACTGAATTTTCCCACTGGTGTGTGTATGTTTGTGTATGTGTAGAAAAGCATGAGGTAAATGGCTGGGGCGGCAGGAAGGTTTGTGTTATGTTCCAGTCAGATTAAACTATAAATCAGAAGCCTGGGTATTTTAATAACACATTAAATAGTTCTATGCCCTTAGTACTGCATAATTGTGTGTTAAACAGCAGCTTCAAGTATTTTCTGTGGTATTCTCATTTTTTATACAGTAGCTTTTTAAAAGTGATAAATGATACTCAGCTTCAAATGCATTGTAAATACTGCATGTATATTACCAATATACATTTTAGAATTTTCTAATCTTGCTTTAACACATATGGTATTATCAATTACTTACAGTATTTTAATATAATGTAACATTACTTTAAAATGACATACAATTTATACTGGATGTCACTAGCCCCTAAACTACCTTGGCACATATTTATATATTTCAGCTACAATTTATCACTTTGTGAAATATACTTTGCGTAATTGAAAATAATGACACAAAAAATCATCTACTCCTATACACTGGTAGTATGATATACAATCCTGATAGCTTAGTGTACTATATGAAGCCAGTCTGCACAGCCATGCCTTTGAAATATGATTTAAAACAGAATTTATAATGTCGCAGAATTACATAAAACTGTGTGAAATTGTGCAGATAATCATTTAAATCTCCCTACATGAAAAGATAATTGCTCCAGAAATTAGCTGTACCTGGGGTTCATTCATTTGGTCATGGCTAGTTTCTTATATAGTGATGATTTGATATTACAGCTAATTAAGATCAGGTCAGAGTTGCTGAAGGTCAGACATTAATGCACAGGATCATTGAAATGATAATTATAAACAGATTAGGAAGCTACGGTCTTTTATAAGGGGTTATTAGATAATTACTGTGAGAGTGTACGGCTTACTGTAATAATGGATTATCGACTACTTACAGCGTTTTAAGGGTGAGAGTATATTACTTCCTCAAGGACTAAGAGGAATAATGTTGTTGGAACTCTGTAAATAAAATAGCACCAATTGCTTTTCAATTTTCTTCCACAGAATATGTTCCCTCATTGGAATAAACTGTATCATTTTTATCTCAATGAGACTTTAAATAAGAAAGGTCTTTAATTTTTTTCCCTTTCAGAGATGAAAGAAGAAAATGAATTTTAAAAATAAATATTTTATTCTATTGTAAGTACATAGCTAGGGCTGCCAGAAGCTTTACAGACAGCAATAGAATGGGAACAGTAAACATTTTGCGATGATTCAGAGAATAGGAAAATATTAACCTGAAACTTACTGACATAACAATTGCACATTTATTGCTATGGCTTTTATTCAAACATATCCTTTCACAAATAAAAGAAGAGCAAAATAAATAATAAAATAATAGAATACTTATTGTCTAGCTGTAGCACACCTTGATCTACTACTGGTTGAACTCCATTTCATTTGGAACTCTGTTCATCAGAGCATGACCTATAAATCAGTAAGGGGGAACAGGGCTTGAAAAGAGCTTCTGGAAAGACAGCATCATTTAAATACTGCAGAAGACACTCACAGACTGATTCCAAAAGCAGTCAGTGCAAAGGAAAAGAGAAATCATTTGTGCCGCCTATGGTGATAGTGACTATGTGACCAAAAAAATAAAACAAGCATGAGGGACACCTGTGTGGTGTCCTTTGAAAAGAAGACTGTTTTTATTGTGTAGTCCCTCTATGCAGAACAAAAGGGATAACCTTTGGAGACACAGTACTTTATTCTCCTGGACAAAAATTGTCATACATAATAGCAATGTTGAGTTGTAGATGGAAAAGTCTATATTTAGCTCAGTCTTTTCCACAGAGGGAGGAACAAGACAAATGAATGTGTGTCTTCCCAGGTGGGTCCCATACCTGGTTGTAGAGATGACTGGAAAGGCTATAAGGGAACTGAGTGGCACTGGCAATGGAAAAAAGCAGACCAGTTACACCTGCAGAACCCTGAAAATATTTTGGCAGTTACAATTCAATAAAAGCAGTTAAAATCAAGAACAGAAAGGGGGCTTTCCTTGCCCACAATAATGAGACAAAATTTCCACCATTTGATTCTTCTTAGATCTTTCGCCATCCATGGCAATAGGAGGCTTGTTATGCCCAACTGTGCCTTAGGATATGCTGCAATACTAGGCTAGTATTTCAGCATAGGAGACAGGAAAGTCCCCTCTGTTTCTTGGAAAGAAGCAAGCCAGGAGGAGCTTTGAGTCATTGTTTTTTCACCTAGGAGACAAAGGTATTCTAGACCATTATTATGGAGTCCAGAATCCAATACTTCGGCCTTAAAAAATGTGAGCCTTTATTAGATCTGAACTGATCCCTGATCTCCACTCCTCTTACACCTTCAAGGCATCAAATTGAAAACAAAGCCATTATCTTCCAAGTTTTGCTTCTAAAAATATGTAAATTTATTAATTCACAGCAAGATTGAACCATAGATTCATTGAAGCATCAAGATTTGAAGGGACCTCCAAGATCCTGTAGTCCAACTGTCAATCTAGCATCACCCCAACCACCCCTAAACCATATTCCCAAGTGACATGAATTAAATAAATAAAAGGCAATAAAAAAAGGGAAGCATTAGTACCCATTTAACATTACCCTCATTTTGTTATACAGGCCCAAACTTCCCCACTATCACATATGTATATCAAAAATACTCCAGATGATTCAATTTTTATTTGCATATGTTTGAGGTCAGCCTGTTTTCTATCTTTTCAATCCATGGGTATAAATCTTGCAGCACTGCCACATAAGCACAAGAGTTACACACTTCTTTTCATGTGAGGGAAAATCTGACTCACCTGTCCAATTTTAACAAAATAGCTCTTAAAACTGAAGAAGTTCTGCACTGCCTCTGTGAAGATTTGCATGCCTATATGTGAAAGAATGTGGTACATTAAGGCCTCAAGGATAACATCCCACACCATGTTTTTTATGCAACAGGTTAATGTTTCTGTTACAGAATAGCTATATTTATTATATTTAATAGCTAAGAATGAATACTGATGTCCCCCTACCTTTGAATGTTGCCGAACAATTAATATCTTACACATTTTCTTACTATAAAATATGTCTGCTTCTCATCTGAAAGTTATTTTAGGCCTCCACTAAATTTGTGCAATTGTTGAAACTGGAAGTATACTGACTTCCTCCCCTCCCCCAGCTACCACTGTTGAAACACTTTTTAACTTACAGACTATCATTTACCTACTGTATATCAATTGATTATAGGTGCTGAATTGTGATGGATATTCATGTGATACCAGAAAAAATCCATGCTACTTTTAATCAGATTTATTTTGTTCTTTGTATAATTCTATAGTTACATTTAACCCACTCCAGTGTAAAATTCTGACTTTTCTTTAAAGGGATGAATCAGAACAAAACAGATATCTGATCTTTAGCATGTTGGTTTTTTCAGGCATTATTACAAACATGTTTTAAAACAAAAGCACTTTACCTTAAAGGAGGAATCTTATTATAGTAGATATGTTAGATGAAGCCTTCTGTGTGTGAGTCACTGGAGTTTAATTGAAGAAAGACTTTTGTTTGTTGCTATTCAATCACTGAGTCTACACTTTGTACAATGGAGGTGTTGAAAGAAGATTTACACAATCATAATGTTATACCCTCTCTTTGTTCAGCTTTTGTGGAAGAAAATTACATACATCTCAACAGTTCTCGGAAGATTAAATCTGCAGTTTAAATTTGCTATTTGAACCCTGTATTCAAAACAGCATTCCACAATTAGTAAGCCATGCTGTTTGGCCTGGGGTTAAACTAAGCAGGAGACAAGGGCGAGGGGAGCCGAGGACCAGTGTTTTCTGGTAGGATGTGTAAATAATGCTGCTTTGATATTTCAGTCCTCAGCCTATACAGAGCTCATTCAAATGTGTCCGTTTTTGACAGTTATGCAGGTTGGAAAAGATTCCTTTCCGTGGGTGAATAGTGGAGCACTTAGGAACAGCATTACTGCCTGTCAAAGAAGAGAAGAAAATCCTGGATGTTAGGATCTTCCCTGTCTTTCTTGCTTTGCATGAATGATACTAAGATGGCCATGGAGCGATAGAAAAACAGCTCTTTTAGAAGTTAAAAAAAAAAAAAAAGCAAGTTGAATATTCATGTAGGCCCTAAAATACTGTTGACCATGTGTCAGTTTTATGTGTTTATGGTCAGTGAAGGCTGAAGTACACTTTTCCTGAGACATGAACAAAGTGGGGTGGAGGAAGAGAGAAGCAAGTGCAGAGGGGCACTTGCAGACAATGAAATCTTAAAACCTTCAGGAAATGCAGATTACATTGACTGTTTCTTGAAGGTCTTACAAGATCTAACTAAAATCTCAGAAAAAAACATTACATTTAATGTGCATAGAATGGATGCACAGACAACATTTTATTTTTACTCTGAAATTTATGTCTATCAGTAAGGTCACTACATTATACTACGTCTTTAATGAATAGTGGTCACATATTTTAGATATTTACTTATAGCTAGGAACTAATGATACATGTATTTGAGCAGGGATTTTTTTATAATGCTGAAGCATTTTTTCCATCTCAAAAATAGTAAAACACTAGTAATCCTAAAGACACAGTTTATGCATGACTTTGTGATTAAGTATGTCTATGTTAATATTTGTATTAGAAAAAAGATTTTATATATATATATATGTGTGTATATATATATGTGTGTGTGTGTGTATGTGTGTGTGTGTATATATATATATGTAAACTGCATATATGTAGAATGTTTTTTCTCAACATTAAAAGGTGAGAGAGAGTTTAGGGTCTAAGAACAAGTAATAACAGGCAATTTCTCTCTGCCCACCAGAAGCACTTCCAAAGCAATGACTTTGCACATTTTTCTTTTTTTGCTGTAGGATAATGTAAGTCACTGGTGGGTTTAAGGCTCAGGTTGAAAAGGTTAATCTTTTCTCCTTGGGATCCAACTGGATACTTGCACCCACTAGCTATGGTACTACAACAAAAAATGTTGACACTTCAAAGCCTTCAATACACATGAGTAAGACCCTCAAGAAATAAAATTTCAAATTAATCTCCTTTTAGAATTTTTCTTTGATTTTATTTTTTTTTAGCTACCTTTGTAACATTTGCACAAACATTTCCACTGGGTGATTTTTTTTCTATTTTAAAAGTGGAATTCATGAAGTATTGTATTGGAAATTGAAGTATAGATGAATAAATGGAGACGGAGAGCTAGGACAAGAATAGCGAGAATAGGAGGACAGAAGTGAAACGGAACAAGAAAGAAGGTGTAGGGAGAGAAAGAAATGGCTGGAAATGCAAAATAGAGAAAAAGAAAAATGGAAGTGCAGAAGAATGTGCTGAAGATAGGCAACAACATGTAATAAATAACTTGTAAATATTTTGTGTTCATCTACAGCTTTATACTGTTTCTTGGGAGCAGTGTAACCTATCAAATGTTATCTGTCTGTCTTCATACTATCTCTCATTCTTCTAACCTTTCTCTGACAACAGAAGCCCCATCACACCATCCAGCTGGCATATTGTTCCTTTGGTCAAGAGATCATTTGTGTTTCTCCAAATTAAAAAAAAAAAAATCCCTCTGTTTTAGAAATGCTATCTTGTCAAAACAGTTACAATATTTTTGTTAGCATAAACACAAACTTAAGCAATTTTAGAATCTATCAAAAGTCTTCATATTAAAAAAAAGGAAAAAAAAATTAAAAAAATTATTTTTGAGAATTTTGCATTAATTCACTATTAAAATGATTAAGAATTTCCAGGTTGATGTAAAAATGAACAACAATTATTTAATTCATGCCATCTCAACTGTTTTTTGAGAGTTAAGAGATTTCAGTTTTCAAGACACTGAAAGGATGTAGGATGGGAAACTTTTAAAATTAAGAAATTCTTGGAAGATGATTTTTTTTTTCATGTTACCCCTTAAGTCAGCAAGTCCAGAGTAAACAAAATATGTAGCCATAGTCCAAAAGGACAGATAATAATTTCCTGATAAAATCCTGATTGTTCCAAGGCATTGTGAGATGAAGATCCTATCAGGAGCTCTGTTGAAAAAATAAAGGAGGTAGAACAATCTCTATTCAAAGGGAAATAACACAAATGTTTTCCTTTTCTTATCCAATCTCTCCTTTCTGTTGAAAGAAGGAAATGAATTAGGTCCCCTACTTCTTTGATTTTAGTAGATGGTCAAATCAAATAACCAAGTAACAGACTTCAGGTTTTATACTTTTAGATTTTTTTTCTCCTTAGTCTTCTGGCCTATTCTTCAGCAATAGTGGGAAATTAAAAAACATTGGTAAAATATTGTATTATTAAGTCTGTGGCAAACAGGTATATCTGCATACTCCAGAAAGTAGTGTAAAGATCTTCAGAGTCCAGTCCATGCTTTGGCATCTCTCTGCTTTAAAAACTAAAGTGCAAGAGATTTAGAAATATTCAAGCTTCAATTCAAACTTTACATTTAAGGAGGATTTATACTTCCCTTAATGACTTTATAAAAAGTAAAAAAGGACAATTCTGCCCTCATAAAGAAGTTCCAGTCACTCAAATTTTATTATTTTACAGGCTGACACTTTGAGTGGGGAAGAAATAAAGGTACCTCCTCACTACATGGTGGTAGGTAACTGGGAGAGATCCCAAGCACAGTGAGACCAGGGGGAAATGCTCTGATGTAAGGGTGATCAAGAGGAGAGGTGTGTTCAGAGAGTTTATGGATTGCTAGATTCCTCAAATGTTTTGTATCTGGAGGTGAGGGATGTACTGTCCACTTGCCTTCCTAGCTAATTCCCAATTATTTTTCTCAGTATATACCAGCCAGTAGCTGCTGTTGTTGCAGACATCAGTTTCATGACTATGGCATGTCCACCAAGAAGATGAGAGAATTGGCTGGAGCTCTGCCCTGAGTTGAGAGTTTCTCAGCTAGGATCTCAACCTAGGGGCCTAAGCACTACAGACTTGTACTGGCAGAACTCCTTGTGACTCCATCATAACTCCTGGAGAAGAAAGACTTGGTAAAAGAGAGATATAAGGACTTGTAATGCTGATTTCAAATTTTATTAAAATGTTAAAACTTTCTCATATATATAGAAATTAAGTTGAACATTTCTAAAGATGCTGAGAACTTTTACTCCAGTTCCACTGGCTTTGTTGCAGAAAATTGCCTTTACAAATTGAATGAACTGATTGAAGCAAATATAAGATGAATGAAAATAAATACAGAGAAACCTAGTTTGTGGGGTTTTTTTTGTTGTTGTTGTTCTTTTTTTTTAATTATTAGGCTTAGAATGACTTTCAGAATGTTATTTAACTTCTTACCCAGATACACGATCTTCTTTTAAATAAGATTTTTTTTAAAAAAAAAGACTATGCCTGTCGTCCTTTAATGTAGCTGTTTCTTGTTTGTCTGTTTCTGACTAACCTCATGCTTCAGTAGAAAACATAAGAGAATGTAAAGACTATAAATTATTGTGGTAAGTTTCACCTTTTTCTCTTCCAAAGGACATAAAGCTATACTTTTGGGCGATCACCACACAAAAATGCTCAGTTTCCATGAGACGGAATTCATTATTGTCAAGTCATTCACTAGTGCATAAGAATTCAATAGAAGAAGATGTTATATTCTCACATCTTGATTTTCAGTAATTACAAAAATGAACTCCAAATATGTTTATAAGTAAATTCTATACCTATCTGTAAATGTATTGGTATTTTGATGAAAATAAGAGATTGATTCACCTTCCTTGGCTTGACTAAGTCAGTGCTCGCTGCTCAGTGTAACAAATCTTAAGGTTAACCTCTACAGAAGTCAATCAATACCTCTTTATTATTCTGTGTATGTGTGTAAAACATCAAAGACTAACTGACAAGAGACAGCTAACATTTCATTTCTAGGACAAGAACCTGTGAAACCTTACTGTATGGTTAATGGCTGAATCTTAAATAATTTTAATCTCTTCTCGTGTTTCAGTGTCTGAAGAGCTCAAAAAGTTGAAGAATGTACATGAAATGAAACAGAAAAAAATGTGAGTGCAGGAAAAATTAAATACAAAAAAAAAATGGGTAAATTGAAGGAACTATTATAACCATCTTTCACTGTGAGGATCTTCATTATATTAGCTGCCTTTTGTAAGCATGTGCTTCTAGGCAACATTTAGATTATTCCAGCTGGTTGATTTTCTTATTTGATGAAATGTACACTTCAGAAACATTGTCTAGTTGGTTCAGAGGAAGAAGTCAGTCTTAAAAGCATGCATTCAATTCCCATAGTATATTGTACATATATTTACAGCTGAAAGAACAGTTTTCCAAATGCATGAAATGATGCTGACAAATTTTGCCACTTTAAATGGGAAATAAATGAAAAATCTTGTGTAAAAAATGTACACCATCTATGTTAATTTGCTACGTCCCTAGTACGATTTCATAAGACAGTTACATTATAAATAAGTTGATTTAATAGGAATGTTATCACATTTTTAAACATTATATTTAACTATCTACAGAGCAGTTATCTAGTATTTTACCTAATTCCCTTTTCAAACTTTGTGTAAACATTCAAAATAAGATTGTTCAACTATTTCTATTGTATGAAACCGAAGTGCAAATAATTAATAAAAACCCCTCCATGTTCTTAAAGGGTGAGAATATTGTAAACACAATATCAGGTCTTTTGTTGTTACCTGTTCCTACAAAGACTTCTGACATTACCCTTCAATGTTTGCATTATGTAACATCTAAAGTCAAAACATTTTGAGACTTTAGCAGGATGAAGCACCTGGCCCAGTCCCACATTGAGTGTTTATGCACCTCTGTAATTAGGTGCCATGAAAATATGTTGTGCTTGTTTCCCAAATGGAGCAGGAGATACACATTATTGTATTGCAAAAAGTCTCAAACTCATAACCAGCATCAATTTCAGACAAGGGAGGCTCCCTGCTTACACAGTACAAGTGTGATCCAAACTGCTCATGATCCTCATATCTATCAGTCCTGCTTGAGATGCTTGAGGGGAAAGGGGAGGAAGAAGGGCAAAAATCACCAAAGATGAGGAAAACAGGATTGCTTAAATAAATTTACAGTCTATTTCAAAGCAATAGCTGCCCGTTAAATACAGAAGTATTTTACTAAAGAGTTTTCGTTCTAAGCCAGGTAAATCATAAGTTTTAGAGAAATTGTAGTGGGCTAATCTTGGCTAGCAGCAAAACTCCCATCCATTTCCTCTCTCTCACTTCTGCTTCAGTGGGGTGGGACAGGAAAAAAAAGAAGACTATGAATGAGAAAGCAAGCTCATATGTCAAGGTAAAGAAGGGCTATTGTTTCTCAGTTACTCTCACGGGCAAAACAGACTTGACTTAGAGAAAGTGCATGTATTGACAATTAAAATTAATATTTTTGGTAGAAAAATGCAAACAAAATCAAAGACACAAACATTAAAATCTCATCTTTCCTGTTTCCTTTCTCAGAGTCAACTTCACATCTTCAGTCCAGATTCCCTTACCCTCCACAGACCTGCTCCAAGCTGTACAAAGGGAATACAAATTGTAGTTAGCACCTAACCGTTTTTTGATTCTGCTCTTTCTTCTTCATGGTTTTCCTTGGCTCCAGAATGTGCTGTTCACAGGCCACGGCTCCTGTCAAGAATATCCAGGGCAGTTCTTCACAATCTGCAGTGAACAGGCTGCTGCCATTTGCATCTCCTCCTCCTCTTCCTCCTCCTTTGATCTGGGTTTTCCTGCTGCTGTTTCTCACTCCTTTTGTGTCTATGTTGCCCTCTGCCTATCCAGGATCTTTTGTCCTTTCTTAAATACACTTTTCCAGTCTGGATATGGGGCTCAGCTGGGGCCCTTTGGTGGGTCTGTTGGAGCCAACTAGAACTAGAACAAGATGCTGGAAGCATCTGTGTCCAGCAAAGGGCAGCACCTGACCTCTTGTCACAGAGGGTGCCCTTGCAACAGAGACCCAGATACCCATCCAACCTTGTTTTGTGGTAAATATGACAAACCAGAGCAAATTCTTGCAACCGAAAAATTAGCTGGTGCCAGCAAGGTATGCCCTGAATCTGAGAGAAGCATCACCAGCCATGAAGAATTTTTTTTCAGAATGCCTGTCAGCAGAAGATGAATGCAACATTAATTTTTGAGCAATTGGATCCTAAAACCTGATCATTAGAGGAATAGAAGCTCACACAAAATCTACCAGATGTAGCTAGTGTCAGAGCTAGCTGACATTAGCTTTTTTGTTTTGACAAAAAAATTTTGAAAGGGACTCAAAGAGTGATCTAGGCAACTATCAGTCTAGAAAAAGGAGTAACAAAGGTGACAAAGTTGCACAAGGCCTTGTGATATTGAATGACAGTGGTAAAATTATAAGACAAACACTGATAAATGATCAGTAAATTATATAAGGAAATCTAAGCCTAGCTGTACATACAGAGTGAGTGACCTGAAATTATTAACATCAAAGAAGAGTCTCAGAATTATTGCTTTAAAGTGTTAGTACTTTGAAACCATCAGTTTTATGTTCAGTTCATCTGACCAATAAATGCCAAAAATGTGAGGGATTATTAGTAACAGAAGAGAAAACACATGAAACCACAGTGTAAATCTAATGATCTCACTTTTTAAAATATTGCATCCAGATCTAGTTCTAGTTCTAGACACCATATCACACAGTAAAAGGAAACAATCAATGGTTTACGACAGGAAGATGATTCTGTGAGTGCTGGATGCCTCAGTTTTTGAAGGGAGGACATAAAGGAGGAATACAGGTAGATGAGATATGTTTAGCCATCTACAAAAGAGACATGTGCAATACAAGCTGGGATTTTTGTGGGGGTTTTATTTACTTTTTGTTAACAAATTTGCATTTAAAATTCTAATCATAAGTCCTGTTTAATGCATGCCTTTTCTCCTTTTTAAATTCATTCTTGTGGAAAAAAAGAATAATTAAAATATTTGAAAAATTAAGGCCTATTATGTCTTTAGAGATTTTAAATCAAAATAATATGGTTTGTGAAATCATTCTTGCAGAACCAAAGTCTCAAGACTGGGCCTCAGAAAGGTCTTCTGTAATAATGGGATATACTTTAGGAAAAAGGGGTTCAAGATAATTTAAGGAACCTGAAGGTGCACAAGTCCGTGGGATCTGATGAGGTCTTTTGCTGGGTCCTAAGGAAGCTGGTAGATAAAGAGTTTAACTCACCATGCATCTCATACTTGAAAAGTTGTGTCAGTCTGGTGAGGATCTCACTGACTAGAAAAAAGAAAACATAAGCCCCATTCTTAAAAAGGGAAGTAAGGAAGTCCAGGAGAAATACATAAATAAATAAAACACACACAGAAATCCCAGCTTGTATTGTACATGGGTCTTTTGTAGATGGCTACATGTATCTCGTCCACCATTCCTCCTGTATGTCCTCCCTTCAAACACTAAAGCATCCAGCACTCACAGAATCATCCCTCCTGTCATAAAGAATTCATGGTTTCCTTTTACTGGAAAATTCACTATAAAGGAATATTCTTGGCCTAGCTGAAAAATATTAATGTTGTACCTAGAACTAGAACTAGATCTGGATGTAGTATTTTGAAGTCAGTCTTACCTCTGTGCTCAGCAAGATCACGGAGCCCATCTTCCCAGAAATGATGCCAAGGCACATGCTAAATAAGGAGATGAGTGGTGACAGTCAACATGACTTCACTAAAAGCATTGTGCTTGACAAATCTGGTGACCTTTCATGACAGAATTGCAACACTGATGGGAAAGGGAAGAGCAACCAACATGATCTACCTGGACTTGTGCAAAGCACTGGACTTGAATGACATTCTTGTTTCTAAACTGGGAGGACATAGATTTGATGTATAGGCTACCCAGTGAATAAAGAATTGTCTGGACTGTTGTACTCAAAGCGTTGCAGTCAATGTCTCAGTGTCCAAGAGGAGTTCAGTGACAAGGTGTTTCCTCAGGGATTGGTATTTGGACCAGTACTGTTTAACATTTTTGTTAAGTGACAAGGACAGTGGGATTGAAGGCACTCTCAGCAAATTTCCAGACAACCCCTGGCTCTGTGGCGCAGTTGATACACTGGAGGGAAGGGATGCCATCCAGATGGCCCTGGACATGCTTGGGAGGTGGGTCTGGTGAACCTCATGAAGTTCAAGAAGGTGCAAGGTCCTGCACCTGGGTCGAGGAAATCCCAAACACAAACAGAATCTGTGCAGAGAATGGCCTGAGAGCGGCCCTGAGGAGATGGACTTGGGGGGTGATGACGGTAGATGAGCAGCTCAGCATGAAGCTTGGAACCCAAAACCATACCCTGGGCTTCATCAAAAGCACGGCCAGCAATGCCAAACCTGGCGAAGGAATATCTTTTCTGACGCACGAGAAAATCAGACTACCTGGAAAGAAACCAAAGCAGGACAAGTAGGGCTCGATGGAAAGCGGGGCCTGTGGCTCAGGCCCGAGCCGCGGCGGCGGCGCTGCAGTCTCGGCGCTGGGCAGTAGAGGGCGCCGCTCGGTTGTGCTGCC